TCAAAGAACAGATGTTTAGATGATGACAGAGAGCAGTGGTACAGGTAACCAGGTCAGCAGGCAGGAACCCTGATTAGAGTTAACTGAACTCCATTTCCCTTTCATAATCAAAATACTTGAAAATCTAATTTATAACACCAGCCAATTGCAAAAAAAAATGACTTAAAAAGCTGTAGAAGCTTTCAGTTGTGAAAGCAATAAGATTTTGTTATACTAAGCCAGTTAAAAATCATCTTCATGGGAAAAGATTGTTAAATTCCCAATATGCATATATTAAAAAGACAATTAGCAATTTAAATAATTAAACATACTGATAAAATGAACACAGCTTCACCTCATCTATTTTGGGCTGATTATTCATTGGCTATTAAAAGACGTCTTCCTGAAGAGAAACAAGATAAACGTATCCTACATTTAACATGACAAAAGTTAAAGTAATAAGCCTTCTCACAGTATGTCTGCACCATGGTTGCAAGCTTAACCCAGGTCTGAGCTGAAAAGCATGGGAATATGTTGCAAAGATATTTAAGCTAGTATCACATGCGGCAGCATCAACAGAAAGTAGAGCTGAATGAGCTTAGGGGCATCAGTGCATGGACATAGCTGTTTGCTGTTGGATTTTGGCTGGCACTTCCCCAGTGGCCCGCATCAGATCGTGTGGATGTACCTGTTTGTATGGAGAATCTGGTAGGCATACCCATATAAGGAATTGCATAGTAATCCTTATTTGTGCAGTATTTTGGGAAGTAACATAATTAACAAAGCTAAGTGTCTACAAAACCCCAATTTGAATATGAGTAGAAAATGAAAAAAAAAATCTGAAAAAACCACTTTGTTAGGAATTACTGAATTTAAGAACAGTCAAGCTAATGTATATGCAGTGGTTACTAACCAACTACGGTGACTATCTGGCTTTAATTTTGCATTTTTAAAAATGAGTTCACACATGCTTCCAATTGTAGAGCAGGTTTTGTTTCCTCCCCCTTTCCTCCTAGATAGCTTGCACTTGCTAGTCTAATCACAGACCATATGAAGGGAAGGACCTAACCTCAGGCAGAATCACTACATTGATGTCATTTCTCACAGATGTTTGTCTAACCTGTTCTTAAAGGCCTGCAAATGTGAGGACTCCACAGCAGCTTATTCCACTGCTTTATCATCTCTGTTGTAATTTTTTGCCTCTCAATGTCTAACTCTGCAGCCTGTGATAAAATTTGGGGTAATTACTTTTTGCCCTATAAAACTGATGCATGGCACAAGCCCATTCCTCTTTACAGCTCTCCTTTTATGTAGTTGAGTACTTACATCCTCAGTTCATATTTTCTTTCAGTTCAACAACGTTGAATTACTTCACAATCTTTCCTTGTCAGTCACACTTTAGAGACCTATTATTCTCTTTACTCTCATCTGGACTCTTTATATTGAATCCCGTGTTTAAGTGCAATACTGAAAACTAGACGCAAACTAAGGATGTAGACACAGGTTTACCATCCTCTTGTCTGTATATTCTCATTAAGATGCTTACCTTTTTCACAACTCACTATTTGTTGACTTGCATCTAGCTCATTATCTACACGTTCCTCCCGCTTTTTAAGAGCTACCCCTAGGCAGCTGTTTGGCATCTTTTATTTGTGAACATGATCACCATATTGCTGTGTGTCCTTGCATGTATTGTCTGTTTAACTTCACCCTATTTTTTGCATCTTATTTTTCTAATTTGTCCTTACCTTTCTGAAGTCTACTAATCTTCCAATAGACTTTCAGTTCCTCTTAGCTTTGTAAGATTTACATGTGCTCATCAGGTTCTGGGGTATCAAAGCCACGTTCTATCAAAATCAAGGAAGAATTTTCCAAGCTGAACAAATCTCTCTGGAAATGAGTCGGACACACAAACTTTTTGGGCCTTCTTTATATGTGAAAAAGCAGTATTAAAGCTCCAAGCATTAAAAACTTTGCTTCATACTGTTCCAAAACTCATTAACATAATGCTAAGAGGAAAAGTCAGAAATATGTTAAAAAACCCTCCAAAACAAATAACCCCACAAAACTAAGTTAAAACAACACAACAAAGCTGAAAAGTTCATAAAAGCCAAGAACATTCTCCTCCAGTCACTTTATCTTGCTTAAAAATTGCCAGTGGAAATTAATATAGTTTGATGTAGAAATTTACTACTTAAAAATGAAGGAGTTTAAGACAATTTAAAATGGAATTTCTTTGGGCTGGCTAGAGGGAGTGAATTTCACTCGTGCTCTTCTGGTATATAGGAATGGTTTCAGCTTATTCTTTAAAAAGTATTGAAATATTTTTCTAAACTTTTTTTTTGCTGAAGGTGGGGGCTTTGAGACAGAAGCAACAATGGAGACATCATTCTGGACCAGATTACTTTGAACTGTTTTTATTAACACCAGTTTAGCTAATCTGCTATTAAAAAGGTTTGAATGCTTAAAATCACATTTAAACATGCAACACTGTACCTTGTCAATCCTTTCTACTACAGTTCTCTAACTATGAAAGGAAAACCAAGCCTTACTGCTGTTGATACTTTACAGGAGAAGAAACAAGCAGAAAGTGGTCTCAAGTTGTTAAAAACTATTTCCTGTGTCATGGAAAATGTCGTGAAAACAAATCCAAATTTGCCGTTGAATGTTTTTCTTTTTTAAGATCAAGTGCCTTTGCCAGATAATACACACTACAAACTGTCTTTGGCTTGATTAATGTTAAATCAGCTGTAAGCAAGGGATTCCCAAACCCTGCTACACAAGCTATATCTAAACAGCACATCGTACACCAAAACTTACCTCCCCGTACCTCTCCCAGTGGAAACAGGGAACAGTTGTTTAGGAGCAAACACTGCCTGCACGTGCAAACACCCCTTTTTCTGTGCACGTAGTTCAACAAAACTAGAAGCTCTTCCTGCAGCTTTAGTGTAACATTTCTTATTCAGCTATAGTAATGCCCAACAAAATAAGAATCCTTGCTGTAAATTTAGATGCTATTCTATGTCACCTCAGCAAATATAAAGGATAAGGTGTACATCTTGTTCAACAGCTGAATGGTTATAGCTGAAGTAGTTCCCAGTTTCAACATTTCTGATATTGATGCAATAACAGTTTGAGATCCAGTGAAGTTGCCAGGAAGCTTTTGTTTTAAGTGTTTCCTTTTAAAACCTAATCACTGTAACTCTGTGCAATCCAAAGATAAAAGCAGCAGAAACTCGAATGACTAGTCTGTGTCAGGAAGGCTGCCCTAGCATTATCAGCAGCGGGAAATTTTTAGAGAAGCAAAAACTTATGTGGAAAACACTTACATTAATCATATAGTTGGAGGTCATTGGAAGTAAAAAGGATTACACTCAGACCTTTCTCTACACATAAAGATCCCTGAAAATTCCTTTTTCTCGTGCAAGAAAATGACAGCTCTTGGAACACACACCTTTCTTTCATTTCTCTTTCAAATTCACTGAAGAGCATGTTGCTCAAGACTTCTCACCTAAAGGAAGAAGCAAGCGAGCTTCATTTTTTTTCTTTCCAGTACTGGTTGTGTACAAGTATGGTGGGCAAACATATTATGCAAAAGATTCTTAATAAAGAATGTTTTTACACCTGCTTGAAGGAATAAAGCAGAAAATGGGTGCAAAAGGCAGTGTTAAGAGAGTGTTAGTTTTGTGATGGGTATATGTGGAAGCCTTCCACATGTTTGTATTATCAGCAACAAGCAAATTTATCATTTTTTTCCTCTGCACACTGCATACTACTGAGCCTTGTGAAATATTTTTGCTATTAATATTTGCTTAGTAAAATGTAGCATCTTTTTTATAAAGACACTCCACTTCAGTGGTATGAATACTTCAGGAGTTTGATAAACAACACTAAACAGAATAAACAAAAAAGACAATTTCATTCGCATAGTAGGTTAGAAACTTCTTGCTTACATCCACTTATTTGCAAGTAATGTGTTGTTCTAAAATGTTAAGAATGCAAATGGCTTATTTTCTAGTATATGTAACAGAACTGTATAGATTAAATACTTTATAGATTAAATCTTTAAAAATAACTTCTAAAAATATCTTTTTTTTATTATACCAACAGGGGAAAAGAAACCACTTAAGAAGTACGCAAACTGCCCAGAAGGCTACAATGGGTTACGTTTCACTCTAGCCAGAAGCTTTGTTTCCCATTATTTAAGATAAATCCTGAAATATAATAAATAAAGAACATCTAATCTCAAAATGTACAGCAACAGATTTAAACATTATTCTCATTAACCCCTCCAGAGCCTATAAAATAGGGTCAGCTGAAAAGGCTTTCAAATGGTCCTCAGCAGACACTACATCATGTTCTAGTGATCTATTGCTTGAAAAGCAAAAGTCTAGCCTAGCCCCTAAGGGTTTTAAGATCATAACACTTAAAAACCGTAAGTACAAGCTTTCTTTGATATCTGGTAGGATACTATAAAATATGAATTAACAGGCATATTAATCATTTTACACAGTATCATTATTAACCATGCTATAATCCAGAAAAAGGGACTGAAATAGTATCATATGTATAACTAGTTTTAAAGTTAGAAAGATATTTCAGTTTAATTAATGGAAACCACCTGTCTAAACACCATTAGCTCATCTACATTTTTTTTTAAGGACTGGCTTGAAAAAGAAACGTAATCTTTAACCAAGTCACACAAACATTTGCTTGTAGTGAAAGGCGGTTGCCACAAAACCTGAAGCACATTGTTTTTCTGTTATTGGGTTACAGTAGCTCAGGTCCGTAGGCACCAGAATCCTCCATCCAGCTGATCAGTTACAGCTGTTAATTGCAGAGGGAGAGACTGGCTGACATCTGCTTCTTGCATAGTTAGTTAATGGTTCACTTCCACGTCCTAAAAGGATTGTAGCCTCTCTCAAAAGACAAGGTTGGCCCCCATATACGTCTGCCTTCTACACTGCCTGTCTTGTTCTGGTTTGTCACTCTCTATACAATGCAAATCTGAGTGAACTCACATCTGCCACTGATCGACCCAATTCGTGAGCAATCTTTTCCCATCGACCTGGAGTCCCCCCTGGGAACTTAACCATACTTCTTGTCAGCTGGCTGAGGTCCTCCTCTGTCCATTCAGGTGCCTGTAAAACATTTGTAAAACATTCATTACACTGGGATATTGAACATATTTTTGTGAGGTAACATGCTGAAAAAAAAAATATCTTCAAACAAATTAATCAAATCATGTAAACCAAAAATTTAATGTTTCAGGTATCTGGGTATCATCTCCCTGTGCTGTTGCCTAAAACGCATTAAAACAACAGAGCAACAGTCAGATATTAAAAATCCTTAGCACTCAAAAAACGCATTTTCTATAAATACACTGACATTTAATTTCTGTCAACATTTATACAATATACGTAGCACTACAAAATGCAGTAAAGATAAAAAGCAACCATATTTTTATTAAAGATTAAATCACAGTTTAAGATGCAAAATTTTAGACATTTGTTTAATTGCACATGTAAGATTTTTCCCAGCAAAGAGAAAGAAAATATCTTCATTTTTACATTTTTAAAAAGCCTCTAAATAAAACATAATGCTCATTTTAGCTTTTGGTCACCATAATCATCCTGGTTTTTAGCATTCTGGGACGATTCAGGAATGAAATCTGTTGATTCTAATATTCCATTAAGACTATTAAACAACACCCCTACCCCCAAAAAACACAGTTATGCCACAAAACCAAGCCGGATGCTTCTACCACTCAATAACCAAAAGCTATTAAAAATGTTTTGCTCTAACTACATAAGACAATCTGTTAAAAATAATGTCTTCATAACGGCCAAATAAAAGTGAACAAAGCAAGGAACACACAAATAGAGCAGTTTAAGGCATGAAATCTTGCTTGCCTCAGAAGACGAAACGCAGTAACCATCTTTGACGTTTGCAGTATCTTTGGCAAGGACCGCAGAGCCGGATCTTTGTTACCATCAGTAGTTTGCCATTTTATTTATTTTTAAGGAATTCTTTATGCCATACCTCTTCTAATCACCATTTCCGATAATGAACAGGCACATATCAAGCAGTTTGCATTACAGAGCCATCAGCAGAGAACAACAGTCAGAGGTGAGTGACCCCAGGGACCATCTCCACAACTACAGCAAAGCTTCTCCCTGACACTAATCCTGCCTGTCATTCTCCCACTGTGCTCTAACCACACTGACATCCGCCTGCCGCACTGCAAGCTTAACGGGGCCCTTCCTGACTTTTTACTGTCTCCCCCAATCAATGGTTCAAGCGTGCTCTTTTCACCATGTCCAAATGGCAGCTTCACTCATAATCAAAGTGCATTGCTCCTGTTAAAGGGCTTCCCGAAAGGCTCCACCATTTGCATTCATTTGCAAAGCAAACTACTTTTATTCACTTTGTTCTGCTATCAAGAGTGTTCCCTGAAGCAGATAAATTGGCATAAATACAACCTGCCACTTAAAAGACAGTAAATAATAGCCAATAGTAGCAAGGATTTCATCAATCGTCCTGGTTTGGATCCATGTAGTCCTTTATTCCACGCTGAAAGCCTCATTCATTCATATTCGGATAGTTTTTAATACAAGTATAAAATGAATTCTCTATGATGATTCAAATGCAAGATGCTTAAATAATGTGTGTGTATGGGAGAGATCTCGCACATACGTTACATGCATTATCATACAATTACACTCTGGCCTACAGAAGAAATGATAAATTCACAGAAAATCTCCACATTGCACAATAATCTTATTACTTGTATTGTATTAAACAAGCTCATATACTCCATATATTTATTACATTATACTCCAGATACATATTTTAGACTGAAATATTTCTCAGAGATTCTTAGAAGGGAAGATTTGGGGTGCTTAATGTCCTACTTACAAAAATTTTCATCACTGTAATTTAAATAATGAATCCTTCTAAGATTTTTTATTAAAAGCCTTTTGTTCAAAAATTAGACAAATTTCATACCTCAAAATTACCCTTAATATGCAGTTTACTGTAATTTTCTATTTAATTTGTATTAAAACTGTGGGGATTTTTGCCGGGGTTTTTTTGGGGAGGTGTGGGGCGGTGTTTGTTGTTTCGGGTTTGTTTGTGGGTTGGTGGTTGGTTTTTTTTTGTTGTTTGTTTGTTTAAGTAAATTCACAGCTTTTCTCTTTTACCATATCCAAAGCATGTCTAAGCAATTACACATGCAAATCAAGATGATCTTTTCAGTGATGTACGCGCATCAGGAGATTTCTGGTAAGTTTTCTTTTCAGACTTTTTTGGTTAGCTTTGATTTTTCTATGTGCTCAAAACTTTACTAACCATTTGTAAATATTACAGACATCATAAAGTTACCTTCCTAAATAACAGGCAAAACTACAATCATTCTGTAGATCTGTACCTAATTATATAATTCTGTTATATATATATAAATAACAGCACAAGAATTCATTAGCTACATTAAAATATCAACTTGTTAATGTTATTTCAAGCTGACAGTAATTTTAGAATGTGAAGACCCAAAACATTTATAAAATTGGAAAATCTCTGAAAAAGCTTTTAGAAAATCCACTCAACTGCTAAAGCTGTGAAGAGCTTTTGTGAATTTGCAATTCCTCAGCAACAGTAATTGTGTCTTTAGATGCAACAGCACCTACTGTGATCCAACTACTACAAGCAGCTATGAGGGTGGTCATGGTGTGAATGTCTTCTCCCTGTTCTAATCTGTAGCCAACTGTAACTGCGAGAGTCAAATGAATGCATAAACATACTGCTTTGTCACCTAAAACCATGTGTGTCCAATATTACTGAAACACTGGGCCAAAATTCATCTCTACAGTAAAGCCATGGAAGACACCACATGGTGAGGGGACAGCTGTTGTTACTACACAAGCATTCAGATTTTGCATCAAAAACACCCCGTTCTGGGATTAACTCCCCATACTGAATACAAAATTAGAAGTACAGAGTTATGGTCTATAGTCTTTAAAATGAAAATAAGCTACAAGTGTAGATATAAAAAATTCATAGCATTCCCATAAATAATAATCCTTTACCATGGCTTATCATACATAGCTGGCAATATTGCAGGATTAGTTCACCCAAACAACTATGCACTTTCTATAGAAAAGAAATATGAATGTGGTTTATTGTTTATCATCACTCGTATGTGTGTATCTGCACTTAGCAATCCCATACCACCTCTTTCAGCATGACAGTTTCAAACTATTAGGATTTTTTTTTAAAAATATGAGCAACTCTATTTTCAATTACATTTCAAGCAAATTTTTATACAATAAAGCATTTATTTTCAAGAAAACAGTCTGACTTGTATAGACCTGTTAACATTAATAAGTATAAAACTAGATAACCTTTTATTGATAAATTGGGAAGTGGCTAGTATTTGAGAGTTTATAAAGAAACTTTAGAAGTTATTTATATTGACTTGACAATATGAGATAATTGGATTTTTTTAGATTAAATTTTAGCTTTAGACTGTTTCTTCCTGTCATCAATATACTGTAGATTCAATTAAAATCATTGTTGTATGGAAGTTTGGAAGATGTTTTCAATCTGGCTAGGACTTTGTGCTATGCTTCATCTAATTTTGGTGATTCACTGATTTGAGAATGTCTAGTCCATGATCTTGCAAATAAACCACAAGGCAGTATCTATTTAAAAATACCTGTGCAAACATTTGTAGAACAAGGATCCTAGTAAAATCCCAGATGGTTTTGAAATACAGATACATTTAACCTACAAGAAGGTCATGTTTCTATCCAGTAACTGTAAGAACAGAATGTAAAAGTATTCCTGACATAATTTCTTGCCCATAATGTCTTATTTTTCTTATTCTTCCATATTCTTACAACTTCTTGCTTTACTTACAAGAAGACTGAAGTCAGTCTTGTTTTATCAAATCTAATACACATCTGGCATTCTGATCCAGCTGTGGCTGAAGACTAAGGATCTGCTACAGTTGTAAAGATCTCTTGTGAAGCTCTAAAGATCTGCTAAAGGCTATTAATGATCTGAATTCATATTCAAAGCCACAACATGTTCATGTAACCCTTTGTTCCTTCAAAGCCACTACTCAAATCCCATTTCCACCAGTACAATTTTTATTAATTGAGCCAACAAAACCATAAGGACAGCTATACTGTTTCAGATCAATTGTCAAGGTAGGCCAGTAAGCTCCTAATTTGTGGTCAGGGAGTGCAGCTGCAGAAAACTTTACTACATACTTTGTCATAACAAGGAGGACTATATTTATCTTTCATCCTTTCCAGTCCTACTTGCCTTGAAAAAACAGGGGCCATATGCAGATACTAAGAGTAAGAGGAAGGCAAGCATATAGGTTACTTATATTTCCCCTATTTTTTCCCCTAACTCCAATTCTTTTCAGCTCAAGGTCTCTAGGCTGATATATGTTATCTATTTTAGCTCAGTGAATCTCTCTTTCAAGGTTTTTTCCAGTCTCCCTTGAAACTTCATAAACTTTCTGGATTTGCAACATCATCTTCACGAGGAGTTGCACACATCTGCTACCCATTATTCAAGGAACTACCTTATTTTGTTTGTTTTGAACGTGGCTCCTGCTAGCTTTGATGGCACCTAGCTCTTGGCTATGGGTGCAGAACCAGCAAACAGTCTATGTGTACTGACTTCCATGTCACTTACAACTTTGTTCAAAATATCCCTCTATAGTATTCTGCCATAAGTTGCCTCTTCCTGGCTAAACAGTCCTAGCCAGCTGGATTCTCATGTAAAAGCCATTTTATGCATAATACTGCTCATGATGCCTTTTTCTAAACCACCTGCAATTCCATTATAACCAACCTCCTTGAAATGAGGTACCAAACTGCACACAGCAGGATTAATCATAAGTTTATAGTCTGGAATAAGGATTCTTCTGTTTCACTCTCTATTCCTTTCTTAACAATTTATAATATTTGTGTTGGTTTTTTGAATGATACTGAGCTGATGTTTTTAGTGAAGCCAGCACTGATAACTCTCAAGATCTCACTCCTCAAGGATCATGGCCAGCCAGAGCTCACCACCTTGTGCATGAAGTTAGGACAGCTACCCACTTTATCAACGTTTGCATCACTTC